ATAATATAATTTGAATTAAAAAAAAAGATGTTAATTCAGTATTTATTAAAAGTATGTTAATTTACAATTTACTATGAATCTAATTGATGCGATGAAGTCTAATTGATCATTTTATGCTAAATGTCATAAAAATAACAAATTATTATGGTAAATGATTTATAATAAGTTTTAAAATGAATTAAGCCAATATTCTATTTTTAATTTATATTAATTTCAGGATTCCTTCATAATGTAATTATTTTTTTGTTTCGCTTAACAATTATGAATTCTAATACAATAAATTAAGGTTTGATTCTAGGATTATTTGGTTATCAAAAATTACAGATCATTTTTCATTAATAGAATTAAAAGAGAAATAAAATGATTATCCAAGATGATGTATAAAGTTAATATTTTAATAATGAATTTTTTAATAATTTCTATCATTGTTGGCTTAATCGTTGTTTCAAGTTCATAATGGCAATCATACCATCTCCTATATTCTGATGTCAAATTTACCTATAAAAATGATTCATCAGCCTAAATGCATTCAGGAGGCTTTTTGTTGCCATCTAGAGAAACAACAGCAAATTTTATAGATTGTAATTCACCTTCAACAACCTATATCACTCTAAATAGCACATACCCATAAACAAGAAGTTCATTTATGATAACACTAAAGAATGGGTATTTATTTTCAGTAGATTTCTACTTTCAAGGTACATGGACATCTCAAACAGTTACTATAATGATAAATTAAGTTTCATACACATATAACTACACTTCCCCTAAAAATTATCAATCTACGTCTGGATTTTGTGATGACTTTGCTTATGAAGTAAAAACAGTTACTTTTACATATCAACAGCCTAATTAAACTTCTGGATAATTATATTTTACATCCTAAAATACAAATGATGGATAAGTTTCAATTAGAAATATTAGTATTACATTACCAAAATGTTATCCATCATGCAAATAATGTACAGGTCCCTAATTCAATTAATGTACAAGTTGCTATTATGGAATACCTATAAATAATATTTGCCTTTCCCATCCATCAATTTTATAAAATTTGAAGGAACATATATGCAGAGATATTTGTGATATTAATATTAATGTTTCATGTTAATATAATGGATTTTAAAAATCCTATCTAAGTATTTAAATTGAAATATTTTAGATGAGACTTGTGTAAAAAATCAAATTAAACTATGTGCTCCTCAAAATTAACTTTAAGAGGCTGAAATATGTATTCCAATTCATGAAGATTAAATAAAAATATCTGATGAACAATATAAGGATTAATTTATATAACCTTATTAGGGTTGTTAAAGTTTCAAAGCTAAATGTTAATCATCTTGCATTTAATGTGATAATACTGGATGTGGCTGTTAGACCTGTAAAGTTGGTTACAGGAATATTGACAATGTATGTTAGTCAATTTGCTGAGACTAAATAGTATAACAGAAGGTGAAGAATGTGATGATGGGAATTTAATATTTGAAGATGGATGTCATTAATGTTCTTTAAATTGCCCTATCTCATGTTCACTTTGTTTATATGGTCATTGTATAAGATGCAAAAATAATCATATTTATTTTAAATATTAATGTTATGAAATACAAGAAAAAATTATTATGAAAGATATTTTTTAGATTTAGTTTTCTAATCTAAGCATAACTTAAGCTTTTATATAACCTGATTAAGTCAGTACAATTCAAATAAAAATCGAAAATTTTTATGAAATAAATAATCGTTGGTTTATTTAAAGCATAGAATCATTATCGTTATTTTAAGAAAATCACAACATAGAAATCAATTTCCAATGCTCTTAGAATAAAAAAGTTATGAGTCAATTTTTTTAATCTTATAATGAGAATGGAATTGATTTTTAGGATAGAATATTTTTAAATGAATGTGCCAATATGGTCGATCAAGTAATAAAATTTTCTTATAAGTTATCATAAAAGATGTGGATGAACAATTAATTGATAATCAGTATTTCTAAAGATGAATTGAAATTATCAACTTTAATTTAACATTATTTCTATACGATTTTCAAAATTTCATTAGTTGATGGTTGATGAATTATCATATAAATAAAAATTGATTATGCAATATCTTTGATTTATTCATAGTTATTTATTATCTACAAGGAATGCTTGCATAAATTAATTAGCAATCCTTTGTTATTTATTTTTAAATTTATCCACAGCCAAT